TTGTGGTAAATGTTCAGAGGGAAAAAGTGAAACTGTGCAGAAAGATATTTCCGAATTTCAGGAGAAGAGAATTCCGTGCCTTTCGTTGATGAGCTTTTCGAGATCGAAGCTCGAACTTTCCTTCGTAATTTCTTCAACCGATCGCCGAATTTGAAAGAGAATCGTGCCTTAGTTTTGTTCCAAGTGAATTAGAGTGTGAAACGTAAGAAAGAAATATTTTGACGCGAGAGATTCATAGATGAATTCTGCAACAATCCAAGTGTTAAGTATTCGTATTGAAACATATTTCATTCACTATTTTTATGTAGAAGAGTAACGCATTTGACGGATAATGACAACGGAAGACATCATTTCCTTTGAATATGACTGTTGAAAAGGATATATTTATCTCTGTGAACCTCTCTTACACACGGGTAGCTCTATTTTAACAGCAATAAACTTATCAGTGACGTCCACTGTGAGTTATAATTAAGCGTTATACAATAAGCGCAGCAATTAATTAAACGCCAATGCAGTTCCTCGATATATTCGACACGTGTTTCACTTTACACGCTTCTCCTCCATCTAACGACAATTTCAGCGAACGTCGTTCCCTCATTCTGACGGAGATTCGAACCGTGGTGACGCGCGTTTCTACGGGGTATACGGTTCACCGTAGAACGGTCGTTGCTTTCCACAGGGACACATCACGTGCGTTCGTTGCATTTGTTGCGTGAGTACTATAGCATTATACTCTGGAGTATGCAGTCATAACTCGTTCCTTTTTGTACCGTTCAATGAGTGATCTAACGATCGTGCGTCGATCAGCCAACAGAGCAGAATAAACGCTGGAGACTCGCAAAATAATAGACTTTTATGCAAATTTATACCTTCTTCGTTTTCTTTTTGTACGAATTTTACAGCGAAAGTGATGGACTCTAGATTTCTTCCATTTAATAAACCTCATAAATGCATTTGTAGTTTATTTCTTTAGGTTCGATTGTTGTTTTCTCAAAGAGCGAGTAGCAAGCACATTGAATTACTTTGAAATTAATAACAAGATGGGGAACGTGATTCGATCGAGTATCGCTCGCCCGAGATGCAGAAAGTTGGTAGAATATTCTTCGAAGAAGTTACAAGTGGATACTAATAAAAGGGGATTCTGATATGATTGTTTTAATAAATAAACACTTTTAATAAGTAGGATGGTAGAGTTTGAAGAACTGAAAATAATGAATGAAGACTCAGTAAAGTCACGCAATCGTTCAACGGTGTGCAAAAATTTCTGGACAGATATCAGAGAATGATATTTCAACGAATTTTAACCAACATTGTACAATTGTATGAACGGTGTTCACTTGTATTCACTTCACTTGTATTTATTTATTTATTTATTTATTTTGCTCGTCACGTTGTTATACCGATATACAAGATTCTGCTTAAAATTCTTTCAAACTTTTGCCCGATTTTCGTACTTGTGTTACACTGTTACGCGATGCGAGTGTGATGGTATGTGTTCAGAAGGGTAACGCAAAGGAACTGTACGTTTTACAGAAGACTGAAGGCTGATCTGCAATACCTCCGAAGGAGGGGACTTTTGAAGGCGTCGGGTGAACTATCGTACCAAGGACGTAAATGCACCAGATGCGGTGCACCGTTTGGTAGATTTTACAACACCGGTGCTCCGTGTACACGCTGCAGGCACCGAGTTTGCAGACAGTGCCGTATCGAGGTCAGGAGCCCTACCGATAACAAAGACGTCGAATGGATCTGTAACATTTGCTACAGGATCGCGTGAGTAATCCTTCCATTGTGTTACGCCGTTTCCTTCTTGCGTGGCTTGCCTCGTTTTCCTCTCCTCGGCTCTCTTGCCGGGATTCTCTCCCCGACATTTCCTTTATTCTTCCGTGCTTCTCGATTCCGTGCTTCGATCGCTTGCCTGTCTCTTTCCTCTTTGCGAAGTGAGCGAGTTAATTAAAGATTGCAAATACACATAATGTAAAAAGTATAGCGTTCCCTAGTAAGTGAAACAATTTCGTATCTAGATTCTGTTCTCTGGATTACGTTTGTGAATTTACATGAAAGTCGATGGTAAGAAATTACTATGAAAGTGCTGAATTTTATTAAAAAGATCGAGTACCTTTGTTCGCATTTTTTTTTTTTTTTTTTTTTTTGATATAAATTTGAAAAACGATGGATATTATTAATTGTAATTTTGCAATTGTGTTCCCTTTTAGGGAGTTGCACGTTGTTACCGAGAAATGGACTTACGAAAACTCGGTGTGTAAAGGATCTATAAATGGAAAAGCAGCATCCCCTGTGGAATTATTGAAACGCAGCATCCGGCGAGCTTGGACAATCAACGGTACGTTTGATATTTTTTTTGTTCGTTATATGTTGCATTTATAACTTCAATTTCAAGCTCGAGCACTTTATAGTAATGACTATTACGTCAATCCATATAGAACGTAATAGTTAAACGATTATCAATACGAAATAGTATGGTATAATTACTAGTCTAGTATAATTACTTCCAACGTTATCTTCTTATTTTCACGTTAAATGCTCTTAATGAGCCTTTCAATGCAACGTGCTCATAAAACATTGTAAAATAGTAGTTACGTAACGTGTGAACCTACCTATATATAGCAGCGAATAATTTCATTAAATTAATTACACAGTCTTTCGAAAAAGTATTTAAATTTATAATTAATTTAAAGAATAGGAATAAGAGGAAGAATAATTTTTTTTTTTTTTTTTTT